CGTAATCCTTCTCTTCCCACAACCTCTTGGTGGGTCGATCCTAAGGGCTGCAACCTGGTGCCTTGTTGTGGTATGGAGAACCAGGGACCATTAGGGTTTCTGGTCCATCACCACCATCAGGAGCTCCTGAGCAAATAAGCTGGTATTTAGGCTCTGAAACTTGGGGGAGCACACATCACTTGGACCTTACTTCTATAGTCTCTCGTATCATAACCAGTCTCCATTCCATAATCCTTCTCTTCCCACAACCCCTTGGTCAATCCTGAGGACTGCAACCTGTTGCTAGGTTACGGCAAAAAGATCCAGGAACCATTAGACTTTCTGGCATATCATTACCATTGGGAGCTCCTGAGAAAATCAGATGGTACTTAGAATCTGTACCTTGTGGGAACCCACATCACCTGGACCAAACTACTTTTTGTCTATTGTATCAAACAGTCTCTGCTCCGTAATCCTTCTCTTCCCACAACCTCTTGGTGGGTCGATCCTGAGGACTGCAACCTGCTGGCAGGTTGCAGCAAAAAGAACCAGGAACCATTAGACTTTCTGGTCCATCACCACCATCGGGAGCTCCTGAGAAAATCAGATGGTATTTAGAATCTGCACCTTGTGGAAACCTACATCACCTGGACCAAACTACTCTTCTCTGTCGTATCATAAACTGTCTCTGCTCCGTAATCCTTCTCTTCCCACAACCTCTTGGTGGGTCGATCCTAAGGGCTGCAACCTGGTGCCTTGTTGTGGTATGGAGAACCAGGGACCATTAGGGTTTCTGGTCCATCACCACCATCAGGAGCTCCTGAGCAAATAAGCTGGTACTTAGGGTCTGCAAATTGGGGGAGCACACATCACTTGGACCTGACTTCTATAGTCTCTCGTATCATAACCAGTCTCCGTTCCATAATCCTTCTCTTCCCACAACCCCTTGGTCAATCCTGAGGACTGCAACCTGTTGCCAGGTTATGGCAAAAGGATCCAGGAACCATTAGACTTTCTGGCACATCATTACCATTGGGAGCTTCTGAGAAAATCAGATGGTACTTAGAATCTGTACCTTGCGGGAACTCACATCACCTGGACCAAACTACTTTTTGTCTATTGTATCAAACAGTCTCTGCTCCGTAATCCTTCTCTTCCCACAACCTCTTGGTGGGTCGATCCTGAGGACTGCAACCTGCTGGCAGGTTGCAGCAGAAAGAACCAGGAACCATTAGACTTTCTGGTCCATCACCACCATCGGGAGCTCCTGAGAAAATCAGATTGTACTTAGAATCTGTACCTTATGGGAACCCACATCACCTGGACCAAACTACATTTGTCCATTTGTATCATAAACAGTCTCTGCTCTGTAATCCCACAACCTCAAGGAAGAACCAGGGACCATTAGACTTTCTGGTCCATCACCACCATCAAGCGCTCCTGAGCAAATAAGCTGGTACTTAGGCTCTGCACATTGGGGGAGCACACATCACCTGGACCTGACTTCTCTAGTGTATTGTATCATAAACAGTCTCCGCTCCATAATCCTTCTCTTCCCACAACCGCAGGGGAGCCCAAATCACCTGCCAATGGGCACCATAACATTTTCAATATCTGTTAATGTTCATGTTAATTCTAGTAACGAGATACATTGAACTGCTATTACAATAAAACGATCAAATAAAGACTTTTAAAGAGTGTTGAAGAACATATGTAGTGTTAATCTCAATATAGGTCGCAGATGTCTTGCTTCATAAAGATGTAACTAGCCCACACAAAACCTGGAAGGGGAAAAGCTCATATCTCCAAGGGCTCTATCCCTTGGTGGGAACAAAGTCATTGATGTTCCCAGAGAGCAAGTCCAGGATAGGATAAGGTGCATCTTGCTGCTCTCTGGGAACATCAAGGAACTCTGTCAACGTTTGGCCTAAGCATTAACATCTAATCTGAACCTTAGATAAAATGTTAAAGAATTTCCAAAAGTAAGACGGGCCTTTCATTCTCAGTCCTGTGGAGGTATTGCAGAATGGAAAATAACCAAGGGATTGCAAATGGAAACACAATTATGGATGGAGGTTTAAATTCTATATGAGATCAATGAGTAGAGAGGATCTTTATGGTTCTAGCTATTCCTTTCAAGCTATGTGTCACTGCACTTTAAGCTGAGCCCCCCCCCCCCCCCCTTTTCTTCAGTTCCTGCTTTGTCCTCAGTGTCTGCCTCCAGCTTCTGGGTACCCCTTCACTCCTAGTGCACCTCGTGATTTCAGTGCACCCCAGAGCGCCTTGTGTCATCGACTGACCCAAGTGCACACCTTTGCGTCCCATGACTCTCAAGAGCCCCCTGTATCATCTAGTGACTCCAGTGTGCCCCATGACTTCAGCTGCACTCCAAGTGAACCCAAGAACATCCTGTGTCATGTAGTGACACCAGTGTGCTCTGGGCATCCAATTACTTTATTTTTACCTAAGAGAATCCGATGTCATCTAGTGACACCATTATGCTCCTTTGAGCCCCAAGACTTCAAGTGTATCCAGGAGCATACTATACCATGTAGTGACCCTATTAAGTTCCTGTGCATCCCATTACTTCAAGTGTACCCAACAGCATCCCATGTCATCTGATGACTCCAGTGTGCCCTGGGCACCTCATGACTTCATATGTACCCAAGAGAATCCTTTGTCATCTAGTGACCCAGTTGTGCTCCTTTGAGCCCCAAGACTTCAAGTGTACCCAAGAGCATTCAATGTCATCTGGTGACTCCAGTGTGCCCTGGATGCCCCATGACGCCATATACTGTATATACAACAACATCCTATGTCACCTAGGGACCCTCATTGTATTCTTTTGTGCCCCATGACTTCAAGTGTACCCAAGAGCATCCTATGCCATCTAGTGACCCCGTTGTGCTCCTTTGAGCCCCAAGACTTCAACTGCAACCCCAAGTGCATCTGATGTCATCTGATGACTCCAGTGTGCCCTGAATGCCCCATGACACCATATACTGTATACCCAACAGCATCCTGTGTCACCTAGTGACCCTCATTGTATTCCTGTGTGCCCCATGACTTCAAGTGTACCCAAGAGCATCCTATGTCATCTAGTGACCCCGTTGTGCTCCTGTGTACCCATGACTCCAAGTACACCTCAGAGCATCCTGTGTCATCTAATGACTTCAGTGTGCCGTGGACATCACATGACTCCAGTGGTGTACCCAAGAGCATCCTATGCCATCTAGTGACCACATTGTGCTCCTGTGTACCCATGCCTCCAAGTACTCCTCGGAGCATCCTGTGTCATCTAATGACTTCAGTGTGCTGAGGGCGTCACATGACTCCAATGATGTACCCAAGAGCATTCTGAGTCATGTAGTGACTCCAGTGTGCCCTGGGCACCCTGTGACTCCATACATACCCAAAAGCTTCCTATGTCATGTTGTGCTCCTGTGCGCCCCATGACTCCAAGTATACCCCAGAACATCCTGTTTGACCACCTAGGGACTCTTGGTGCACCCTGTGAACCTCCTTAACACCTCCAATTTACTTCTGCTTCATGTGGACAGTCCTCTAATTGACTACAGACCCCTGTATGTGAGACCTACTGAAAGGAAAACTTTGCAGATCCAATTTCCAAACCTTCTCTTAAATAAATAGAATTTTATTTTACGTCTTGCTAAAAGCAATTACAATATATCTCCAATATTTGAAAGCTATCACAGAATGACCCACGATGCAAACCTTCTACATAAAGGTCTTGTTTCGAGATCACAGATGATTCCAGTGGTTGTCCTACAACTGATTGCACGTTGAAGTGAAATAATACCATGGCAGGGGCGGACTGACCATTTGGAAACTCGGGCACTGCCCGAGGGCCCGGGGTCAGTAGGGGGCCCCATGTGATGCCCCTGGTACCTTTTTCATAGGCTTTTTTGGGTTTGGACAAGGACACAGGGGCCCCATGATGCCCTATTGCCCGTGGGCCCCATGAGTTGTCAGTCCGCCCCTATGATAGAAATAAGACGCAGCATTGTGCCATCCTCTCCTGACTTTATTTGGGGCATTTGGCAACTGTTGTGGAGCCTCTGATGGCCATAAGATCCAACATTTTGGAAACATTTTCCCACCTTAGACCAAATTAAATGGAACTGAGTGGACAGCGATTTGCCACCTGTGGTTTTACCCATTTCTTGGTTTTGTGCATCCAGATAACCCAAATTTGGGTGTAAATGATCTGAAAATGCGGGAGCTTGCCAAAACCCACCCATTGTAACGACTACCGATGTGCAAGATACTGCTTTTCTGCTGCTGGCCAGATCTGCAAAGATCTGAATGGGTTTGAAGATCCCTCCATGTGATGAAAAGGTCCTCCAATGGTTAGAATCAACCCTTTGTCCTGATCATTGTTCAAAACCGTCATACTGGCTGTACGTAGGCGGCTTTGGCATTCAGGACCAGCATGGAGGATGCACGGCCGTGCAGGTGGAGAGGAGCTGTGATGTCTTCATCACTGAGGGTGTCAGAGACAGGCGATCACCGAGAGGACGCCAAATGTCACCGTGAGTGCTGCAGTCAGTAATTGTCAGCCAGCCGCACCAACGGCTGTAATCACAGGTTTAACACACTCAGGTCACAGAATACACTAATGTCCCCATAGAACAATGACACCATAATAACAGGGTGTCAGGAACACAGCAGTGCGCACGACGGGAGCGTTATATGTCAGAGCTATATAAATGTATAATAATAGTGTGTGACTGAGGGGGCATTATTATTATACAGGATTTATATAGCGCCAACAGTTTGCGCTTTACAATATAAGGGGAGACAATACAATTACAATACATTTCAGTACAGAAGGAATAGGAGGGCCCGGCTCGTGGAGCTTACAATCTAAAGCAAGGGGGAGGTGATACAAAAGGTGATAGCTGCAGGGGATGATCTGGTGGAGGTGATTCAAGTACAGTTCTTCGGTGGAGGTGGGGTGGGTTTCCCTGAATAAGTGAGTTTTCAAAGATCGCCTGAAGGCAGACAGGGTGGGGACTGACTGGACATACTGTGGTAGGGAGTTCCAGAGAATGGGAGAGGCTCTGGAGAAGTCCCGGAGTCGAGCGTGGGAGGAGGTGATAAGGGAGCTAGAGAGGAAGATATCTTGGGAGGAGCGAAGTGGGGGCGATATCTGCGGATGTGGTTGGCGATGTAGCTGGGGGCAGTGTTGTGGATGGCTTTGTATGCTGTGGTTATTTATACGTTGGTTAGTGGAAGCCAATGAAGGGATTGGCAGAGAGGGGTGGAGGACACTGAGTGGAGGTCAGTGGAAGGATTGGCAGAGAGGGTGGAGGACACTGAATGGAGGCCAGTAGAGGGATTGGCAGAGAGGGGTGGAGGACACTGAATGAAGGCCAGTGGAGGGATTGGCAGAGAGGGGTGGAGGACACTGAATGAAGGCCAGTGGAGGGATTGGCAGAGAGGGATGGAGGACACTGAATGGAGGCCAGTGGAGGGATTGGCAGAGAGGAGGGTGGAGGACACTGAATGGAGGCCAGTGGAGGGATTGGCAGAGAGGGGTGGAGGACACGGAGTGGAGGCCAGTGGAGGGATTGGCAGAGAGGGGCAGCAGTTGCCTATCGGTTGGTGAGGTGGATGAGTCTAGCAGCAGCATTCATAATAGACTGAGGGGGGGATAGCCTGTGTAACGGTAGACCAGTGAAGAGGGAGTTGCAGTAATCAAGGTGGGATATAACTAAGGCGTGGATAAGTTGTTTTGTGGTGTCATTGGTCAGAAAGGGGAGGATTTTGGAAATGTTCGGGAGATTGAGGCGGCAGGATTTAGCCAGTGATTGGATGTGGGGCCCAAAGGAGAGGTCAGAGTCTAGGATTACACCCAGCACCCTGGCATGAGGGGAAGGACCAATGGTTGTGCTGTTGATCCCAATGGTAAAGTCATGAGTGGGGGATCGGGGGGGGGGGGGAAATTTACAGCTCGAATTTGGAAAGATTGAGTTTGAGGGAGCAGTGTGACATCCATACGGATATGTCGCTTAGTAGATTTGTGATACGTGAGGAGGTTGAGGGGATGAGCTGGGGAGTGGAGAGATAGATCTGGGTGTCATCAGCATAGAGGTGGGTATTGGAAGCCATGGGAGGTCATCAGTTGGCCCAAGGAGGAGGTATAGAGAGAAAAGGAGAGGCCAAAGGACAGATCTTGGGGTACCACAAAAGAAAGAGGAAGAGGAGCGGAGGAGGAGTTGTATGTGACACTGAAAGTGCGCTGAGAAAGGTAAGAGGAGAACAAGGAGAGAATACAGTCACGGAGGCCAATGGAGTGGAGTTTACTGAGGAGCAGCTGGTGGTCGACTGTGTCAAAGGCAACGAAAAGGTCAAGTATGAGTATGGAGTAATGGCCATTGGTTAGGGTGAGTATGGAGTAATGGTCATTGGTTAGGGTGAGTATGGAGTAATGGCCATTGGTTAGGATGAGTATGGAGTAATGGCCGTTGGTTGGGATGAGTATGCAGTAATGGCCATTGGTTGGGATGAGTATGGAGTAATGGCCATTGGTTGGGATGAGTATGGAGTAATGGCCATTGGTTGGGATGAGTATGGAGTAATGGCCATTGGTTAGGGTGAGTATGGAGTAATGGTCATTGGTTAGGGTGAGTATGGAGTAATGGCCGTTGGTTAGGATGAGTATGGAGTAATGGCCGTTGGTTGGGATGAGTATGGCCATTGAGTAATGGCCATTGGTTGGGATGAGTATGGAGTAATGGCCATTGGTTGGGATGAGTATGGAGTAATGGCCATTGGTTGGGATGAGTATGGAGTAATGGCCATTGGTTGGGATGAGTATGGAGTAATGGCCATTGGTTAGGGTGAGTATGGAGTAATGGTCATTGGTTAGGGTGAGTATGGAGTAATGGCCATTGGTTAGGATGAGTATGGAGTAATGGCCGTTGGTTGGGATGAGTATGGAGTAATGGCCATTGGTTGGGATGAGTATGGAGTAATGGCCATTGGTTGGGATGAGTATGGAGTAATGGCCATTGGTTGGGATGAGTATGGAGTAATGGCCATTGGTTGGGATGAGTATGGAGTAATGGCCATTGGTTGGGATGAGTATGGAGTAATGGCCATTGGTTGGGATGAGTATGGAGTAATGGCCATTGGTTGGGATGAGTATGGAGTAATGGCCATTGGTTGGGATGAGTATGGAGTAATGGCCATTGGTTGGGATGAGTATAGGAGTAATGGCCATTGGTTAGGGTGAGTATGGAGTAATGGCCGTTTGGTTGGGATGAGTATGGAGTAATGGCCATTGGTTGGGATGGAGTATGGAGTAATGGCCATTGGTTGGGATGAAGTATGGAGTATGGCCATTGGTTGGGATGAGTGGAGTATTGGCCGTTGGTTGGGATTGGCCGAGTATGGAGTAATGGCCGTTGGTTTTAGCAGTTAGTAGGTCAGTAGGTTTTAGTAGGGCAGTTTCTGTGGAATGTTGTGGGCGGAAGCCAGACTGTCGGGGATCAAGAAGGTTGTTGTCGGTGAGGTAGCAGTTCATACGGTTGTGAACAAGGCTCTCGAGAAGTCTTTCAGGGATTTAGTTTTACGCCACGCTCGCTCAAGCCTGCGGCTATGTCTCTTGAGACTTCTGGTGTCATCTGTTTGCCAGGGTTGTGACAGGCGAGGCCGGGTTCTGCTTGTGGAGAGAGGAGCAAGAGCGTCCAGGGAGGATGATAGTTGTTGTAGGCAGATGAGGCCAGCAATGGGCAGGACAGGGGTGCAATTTCATCATAGAGGAGCTCAGTAGCGGAGTGGAGAAGGTCAGCGCTGAGGTGGTGGAGGCATCTACAGCTGATGGTTTGCTGGTTGGAGGCAGGGAGAGTGTGAAGCTGATAAAGTTGTGATTAAAGAGAGGAAAAGGGGTGTTAGAGAGGTTACAGGGAGTGCAGAGGTGGGTGAATACAAGGTCGGGGGTGTTGCCGTTGGAGTGGGTGGTGGATTGTGACCCTTGTGTTAGGTTAAAAGAGGAAGTTAGGTTGCATTAGAGTGTAAGCTCCTCTGTACAGAGACTGATGTGACTGTGGGGGAGGGGACATTAGAGTGTAAGCTCCTCTGGTTCACAGACTGATGGGACTGTAGGGGAGGGGACATTAGAGTGTAAGCTCCTCTGGTACAGAGACTGATGTGACTGTGGGGGAGGGGACATTAGAGTGTAAGCTCCTCTGGTACAGAGACTGATGTGACTGTGGGGGAGGGGACATTAGAGTGTAAGCTTCTCTGGTACACAGACTGGTGTGACTGTGGGGGAGGGGACATTAGAGTGTAAGCTCCTCTGGTACAGAGACTGATGTGACTGGGGGGGAGGGGACATTAGAGTGTAAGCTCCTCTGGTACAGAGACTGATGTGACTGTGGGGGAGGGGACATTAGAGTGTAAGCTCCTCTGGTACAGAGACTGATGTGACTGTGGGGGAGGGGACATTAGAGTGTAAGCTCCTCTGGTACAGAGACTGATGTGACTGTGGGGGAGGGGACATTAGAGTGTCACCTCCTCTGGTGCAGAAAATGATGTGACTGTGGGGGAGGGGGCATTAGAGTGTAAGCTCCTCTGGTACAGAGACTGATGGGACTGTGGGGGAGGGGACATTAGAGTGTAAGCTCCTCTGGTACAGAGACTGATGGGACTGTGGGGGAGGGGACATTAGAGTGTAAGCTCCTCTGGTACAGAGACTGATGTGACTGGGGGGGAGGGGACATTAGAGTGTAAGCTCCTCTGGTACAGAGACTGATGGGACTGCGGGGGAGGGGACATTAGAGTGTAAGCTCCTCTGGTACAGAGACTGATGTGACTGCGGGGGAGGGGGGGGCATTAGAGTGTAAGCTCCTCTGGTACAGAGACTGCTGTGACTGGCTCCGTGATCTCTGTACAGCGCTGCGGTATATGTCAGCGACACAGAGTATTTCCAGGAAGGGGAGTCTGAAGAATATGAACGTCCTACCAATGAACACTCTTTTTCCTTTTGGGTCGGTTGGGATTTCTCCCTGAAGGTGTTAAGTCTTCCCTCCTCCATGCATCTCTCTTTGTGACGTGTCCAGGACATTTCATGGGTGAGGTACGGAGACAAACACAGGGACACAGGAACCAGGATGCAGAGCCCCATTCCTCTCCGCGTCACCCATCAATATCACGCAGCTGGTTACCACGTTCTCCCTGTGACTGTGCGGCGCTCCATTTACCTGCTATTCCAGTATTGGCATATTCATTTAACGCCAGCACAATCCTAGAATGAAGCCAGGAAGTGAGAAGTAAATCCTACGATGTGGGAGGAATTCCCTCTCAGGTGTCACCAGAACAGGGTGTCCCCATTGTAAGATTTCTACTCACTTCCTGTTTTTTGGCAGCCAAACATTTTTGCTTTCTTTCCGCCATTTTTGAAGGCTTAACCCCTTACCGAAACTATTTCAGCATTATCCTCTGGGGTCAATGGGACTGATCATGACAGCAAATCTTCCCAATACCTTTTGATCCTGCCAGAAATGCAGTGCCATCCTGTGTGCTGTACAGTTATTTCTAGCCCTGCCCAGTACATGTCTGAACTATAGAACCCCCTCCTCTGACAGAGACGAGGAAAGGTGGAGGAGTTCTGGAATCTTGCCCTAGGGTGACAACGCTGCTTCTCCAGCGTTACCCTGGGACAGGAATTGTGTTACTGGCAGGATCACCAGGGGAAAACGAAGGGAAAAAAGCCCCAAAAACATTCTCATGAGTGTCTGGACTCCATGATCGCCCTGGACGGGACGATCGAGCAACCAGAGTGGTTTACAGGTAAAAGAGACGAACGACTCCAATTTTATACTTGTAGTAACTCACGAACATGCATGGATGGCGCCATCGAGCTCAAAATCAAGGGCATACCATGCACATGCAGTGGGGCCCGGAGGGCAGAGGGGGCCCCGATGAGATTCTGATTTATTTTTCCACCCCCCTTCCTAATGTACAACATCCTTCCGACCGCCGGCATTAAACAACGAGGACTATTACCTATGTATCAAAATGATACATATTGATCAATTATTATTAATAGGCAGAATATAGAAACCATTGATCACCAATATTAACGATTATCAATAAGGGGAGTATATAAACCATTGATCACCAATGATAACGATTATCAATAAGGGGAGTATATAAACCATTGATTACCAATGATAACGATTATCAATAAGGGGAGTATATAAACCATTGATCACCAATGATAACGATTATCAATAAGGGGAGTATATAAACCATTGATCACCAATGATAACGATTATCAATAAGGGGAGTATATAAACCATTGATCACCAATGATAATGATTATTACTAGGGGAGTATATAAACCATTGATCACCAATGATAAAGATTATTAATAGGAGTGGGCTATAAAGCACTGATCACCAATGTTCATGATGATCAATAAGGGAAGTATATAAAACATTGATTACCAATGATATTGATTATTAATAGGTGTGGGCTATAAACCATTGATCACCAATGTTAACGATTATCAATAAGGGTAATATACTGTATAAATCATTGATCACCAATATTAATGAATACTAATAAAGGGGAGTATATAAACCACTGATCACCAATATAATGATTATCAATAAAAGGGAATATATAAAACATTGATCACCAATAATAATGATTATTAATAGGGGTGGACTATAAACCACTGATCACCAATGATAATGATTACTGATAAAGGGGAGTATATAAACCACTGATCACCAATATTAATGATTATCAATAAAAGGGAATATATAAAACATTGATCACCAATAATAATGATTATTATTAGGTGTGGGCTATAAACCATTGATCACCAATGTTAATTATTATCAATAAGGGGAGTATATAAACCATTGATCACCAATGACAATGATTATTAATAGGTGTGGGCTATAAACCATTGATCACCAATAATAATGATCATCAATAAAGAGACTATATAAAACCACTACTGATCACTAATGATTCTTAATATGGGGAGTATATATAAACGACCGATCACTAATGTTAATGATCATCAATAAGAAGAGTGCATAAAACTATTGATCATCAGTGTTAATGATTATTAGTAGGGGTAGTATAGAAACCATTGATCGCCGATATTAATAGTTATTAGTAGAGTAGACCATTGATCACCGATATTAATAGTTATTAGTGAAGTAGACCATTGATCACCGATGGTAATAGTTATTAGTAGGGTAGACCATTGATTGCCAATGTTAATAGTGATCAGTAGGGTAGACCATTGATCGCCGATATTAATAGTTATTAGTAGAGTAGACCATTGATCACCGATGTTAATAGTTATTAGTAGAGTAGACCATTGATCACCGATGTTAATAGTTATTAGTAGAGTAGACCATTGATCGCCGATGTTAATAGTTATTAGTAGAGTAGACCATTGATCACCGATGTTATTAGTAGGGTAGACCATTGATCGCCGATGTTATTAGTAGGGTAGACCATTGATCGCCGATGTTATTAGTAGAGTAGACCATTGATCATCGATGTTATTAGTAGGGTAGACCATTGATCACCGATGTTATTAGTAGGGTAGACCATTGATCGCCGATGTTATTAGTAGAGTAGACCATTGATCATCGATGTTATTAGTAGGGTAGACCATTGATCACCGATGTTATTAGTAGGGTAGACCATTGATCGCCGATGTTATTAGTAGGGTAGACCATTGATCGCCGATGTTATTAGTAGAGTAGACCATTGATCACCGATGTTATTAGTAGAGTAGACCATTGATCATCGATGTTATTAGTAGGGTAGACCATTGATCATCGATGTTATTAGTAGGGTAGACCATTGATCATCGATGTTATTAGTAGGGTAGACCATTGATCATCGATGTTATTAGTAGAGTAGACCATTGATCGCCGATGTTATTAGTAGAGTATACCATTGATCGCCGATGTTGTTAGTAGGGTAGACCATTGATCACCGATGTTATTAGTAGGGTAGACCATTGATCACCGATGTTATTAGTAGGGTAGACCATTGATCATCGATGTTATTAGTAGAGTAGACCATTGATCATCGATGTTATTAGTAGAGTAGACCATTGATCATCGATGTTATTAGTAGAGTAGACCATTGATCGCCGATGTTATTAGTAGAGTAGACCATTGATCGCCGATGTTATTAGTAGGGTAGACCATTGATCACCGATGTTATTAGTAGGGTAGACCATTGATCATCGATGTTATTAGTAGGGTAGACCATTGATCATCGATGTTATTAGTAGGGTAGACCATTGATCATCGATGTTATTAGTAGGGTAGACCATTGATCACCGATGTTATTAGTAGGGTAGACCATTGATCATCGATGTTATTAGTAGAGTAGACCATTGATCGCCGATGTTGTTAGTAGGGTAGACCATTGATCGCCGATGTTGTTAGTAGGGTAGACCATTGATCACCGATGTTATTAGTAGAGTAGACCATTGATCACCGATGTTATTAGTAGAGTAGACCATTGATCACTGATGTTAATAGCTATTAGTCGAGTAGACCATTGATCGCCGTTGTTATTGTAGAGTGGACCATTGATCACCGATGGTATTAGTAGAGTAGACCATTGATCGCTGCTGTTATTAGTAGAGTAGACCATTGATCACCGATGGTATTAGTAGAGTAGACCATTGATCGCTGCTGTTATTAGTAGAGTAGACCATTGATCACCGATGTTATTAGTTATTAGTCGAGTAGACCATTGATCACCGATGTTGTGAGGGGTATATCAGGGTTCATATGGTTAAGGAGTTACTTTAAATCTACAATATAAACCAGTGGCTTATATTCCTTAAGACGGCAAGCTTTTTAATGGGGAACTACTTCTAGGGATGCGGTATAAGCCGAGTGCCAAAGAGAGATTACTATTGGGAAAGCAAGTAGAGGGGCCCATCCAAACTTTGCTTTGGGGCCCTGTGCTCTGTAGTTACGCTCCCACTTGAAATATAGAAGGATTTCTCTAGCACACCTCCTGGTAAATACATTTTTTTAAATAACTTTTTTTTATTCACATGTAGGTTTAAAATAAAAAAAAATATAAAAAATTGATTAAAGAACGACGTTTCGGGATCATGTAGGATCCCATTATCAAATGCCATAAATCCCCATCCATGCAGAGGACACCATCCAAAGCTCAAGACCTCAAGGTGATTTCGGTCACCAAGATTCCGACAAAAGTCACCAAATGATTCATATTCACCTCCTGATCACAGCGCAGAGGGATCAGTCATCGCTACATTGTTTCATTCTGCTATACAAATTAATATTCCTATAATATGGGATTTATACAGCGACAACAGTCTACACAGCGCTTTACAGAATAAAAGGTAGTCAGTACAGGTCAAATACAAATCAATCCCAGGGGGACCAGAGAGCCCTGGGCAGTAGAGCTTACAATCTACAAACCACAATTTAGTGTCACATGGGACGGCGTCAGGTTCACCAGGTCTCTGCAGTGCACACGCGGCCACCTCAGCATGGAGGGGGTTAAACCAGTTGTCCGCGGAGTGACCGAGGGAGGCCACGTGTTGAATAATTCATCACAGCTCCCGGAGCTACTAAGACGGCCAGGACACTTCATGCGTCACAGACCAGCAGCGTGGAAAGGGCACCTGAATGTTAGATTCAGCCATGGACCCTGGGTGCGCAACATGTAGGAAAACAACGCAGGGGCACTTTAAGGGCCCAAGTATACCTGAAGTAGATAGAATGATAGATAGATATTAATATGGGTAGAGATACATTTGATAGAGAGACAGATAGATACACTATATTGCCCCAAGTATTGGGCCGCCGGCCTTTCCCCGCACATGACCTTTAATGGCCCCCAGTCTTAGTCCGTAGGGTTCAGTATTGAGTTGGCCCTGCCCTTTCCCCGCACATGACCTTTAATGGCCCCCCAGTCTTAGTCCGTAGGGTTCAATATTGAGTTGGCCCCGCCCTTTCCACGCACATGACCTTTAATGGCCCCCCAGTCGTAGTCCGTAGGGTTCAATATTGAGTTGGCCCCGCCCTTTGCAGCTATAACAGCTTCAACTCTTCTGGGAAGGCCATCCACAAGGTTTAGGAGGGTGTCTATGGGAAGGTTGGACCATTCTTCCAGAAGCACATTTGTGAGGTCAGGCACTGATGTCGGGGGAGGAGGCCTGGCTCGCAGTCTCCGCTCTAATTCATCCCAAAGGTGTTCTATGGGGTTGAGGTCAGGACTCTGTGCAGGCCAGTCAAGTTCCTCCACCCCAAACTGGCTCCTCCATGTCTTTATGGACCTTGCTTTGTGCACTGGTGCGCAGTCATGTTGGAACAGGAAGAGGCCGTCCCCAAACTCCTCCCACAAAGTCCAAAATGTTGCCTTAAGAGTTCCCTTCACTGGAACTAGGGGGCCAAGCCCTACCCCTGAAAAACAACCCCACACCATAATCCCCCTCCACCAAACTTTACACTTGGGAACAATGCAGTCAGGCAAGTACCGTTCTCCTGGCAACTACCAAACCCAGACACGTCCATCGGATTGCCAGACAGAGAAGTGTGATTGGTCACTCCAGAGAACCCGTCTCCCCTGCTCTAGAGTCCAGTGGTGGCGTGCTTTACACCACGGCATCCCGTGCTTTGCATTGCACTTGGTGATGGAAGGCTTGGATGCAGCTGCTCGGCCATGGAAACCCATTCCATGAAGCTCTCTACGCACTGTTGTTGGGCTCATCTGAAGGCCACACCAAGTTTGGAGGTCTTTAGCTATTGACTCTGCAGACAGTTGGAGACTTCTGCACACTGTGCGCTCCAGCATGCGCTGACCCCGCCCTGTCATGTGACGTGGCCTACCACTTGGTGGCTGAGTGGCTGTTGTTCCCAGTTGCTTCCACTTTGTTATAATCCCACTAACAGTTGAGCGTGGAATATTTAGTAGCCAGGAAATGTCACGGATGGACTTATTGCCCAGGTGGCCACCTATCACGGGACCACGCTTGGAGTCACTGAGCTCCTGAGAGCGACCCATTCTTTCACCAATGTTTGTAGAAGCAGCTGCATGCCTAGGGGCTTGGATTGTATACACCTGTGTCCATGGAGGGGATTGGAACACCTGAATCACATGATATGGAGGGGATTGGAACACCTGAATCACATGATATGGAGGGGATTGGAACACCTGAATCACATGATATGGAGGGGATTGGAACACCTGAATCACATGATTGGGAGGGGATTAGAACACCTGAATCACATGATCGGGAGGGGATTAGAACACCTGAATCACATGATCGGGAGGGGATCGGAACACCTGAATCACATGATCGGGAGGGGATCGGAACACCTGAATCACATGATATGGAGGGGATTGGAACACCTGAACCACATGATCTGGAGGGTGGGACCAATACTTTGGGCAATATAGTATAGTATCAGGAGGAGGACGCAGCATCTGTGTGTGAATTCCCAGCGCCAGGCCTGTTAACCCCTTCCTGTCTGCTAACAGCCTAATGCAGGAGGTTTCAGCATCACGTGTGGGGCGTGACCTATGGCAAATACAGCCTGCTTGGGAATGTCCGATCCTTCAGACTGGTCCAGCCATCAAGGCATTTTCATATTTGTATAACTCCTCCCATGAGCCCGCCCATTGCTTGCTTCAGGGCCGAGGGCTCTTGAGAGGAGTAGTGCTGCGATGTTTTCAGGAAGCTATGTACAGCCCCCTGCTGGCCCCTCCCACCAGTCATGATCTGCCTGTATTTCATAGAGAGGCACAGAGAAACAGCGATTATGTTTGTAACTCTGTAGAAGGGGGAGGAGTCATTTCCTCAGTCTCCTCCCCCAGTGATCAGACTGTACATTGTAACTTTGTAGAAGGAGGAGGAGGCATTTCCTCAGTCTCTCCCCTCCCCCAGGGATCAGACCGTACATTGTAACTTTGTAGAAGGAGGAGGTCATTTCCTCAGTCTCCCCTCCCCCAGTGATCAGACCGTACATTGTAATTTTGTAGAAGGAGGAGGAGGAGTCATTTCCTCAGTCTCCCCTCCCCCAGTGATCAGACTGTACATTGTAACTTTGTAGAAGGAGGAGGAGTTTCCTCAGTCTCCCCCCCCATTGATCAGACTGTACATTGTAACTTTGTAGAAGGAGGCATTTCCTCAGTCTCCCCTCCCCCAGTGATCAGACTGTACATTGTAACTTTGTAGAAGGAGGAGGAGGCATTTCCTCAGTCTCCCCTCCCCCAGTGATCAGACTGTACATTGTAACTTTGTAGAAGGAGGAGGAGGCATTTCCTCAGTCTCCCCTCCCCCAGTGATCAGACTGTACATTGTAACTTTGTAGAAGGAGGAGGAAGCAGCCAGGGACTGATCTGTGTCAGACATTTGTGAACTCAGCCAAGAACTGTGCAGCCACCAGGATTTCCATGGCTGTGTCAGCTCCGATCCGGCATCTCCTGTACATGTGCCACGTGCTCAGCCATGCAACGACTTCTATGGACGAGTAAATACAAAGCTCTGGCTGATTCTAATCTGGCCTCAGCTGATCTTAATAGGCCGTGTACACAGGCTGGAAGGGTGACGTGTCCTGGGGAAGGGGGAGGGGGTGTTCTGCAGAAAATGGGTGCAGTCCATGTAGAGGAACCGGTCAGTCTGGCCCACAGGTGGGTGTGGAGAGCCGGCTCGATAAAGTCATTATTACTCGATCATTGCTGGGAGGACTACAGGACCAGGACGAAGAACGCTGGAGCCACGCAGGGTGCGGAGACCAATGGGGACAGGTTAAAGTGGAACTCTGGGCACAAAACGTTTCACTTGAAATCTATTCCCCAAGAGCCACAAAAGATAAAAAATCCAACAAAATGTCTCTGCAAACCCAGATATTACCTTGTAAAAGTAGCAGTGACTGTGTTGTACAGGAGCTGAGGGGGAGGGGTGTCCCAACAAGCTCCACCCACTACAGAAAACCAAGGCGGAGACAAGACCAGTCCCCCCCTCACAAGGAGAGAGAAAGTAGAGCTGTAGGAGGGGCCCAAAAGGCTCCACCCACTACAAAAAAATACAGGAGGGGGTGGAGACCAGACCAAACATCCTGCTCAAGGAGAGAGAACAGAGCTTTGGGAGGGGTCAAGAAGGCTCCACCCAGAAAACAAGAAAACAAGGGCGGAGACAAGACCAGTCACCTCTCACAAGGAGAGAGAAAGTAGAGCTGTAGGAGGGGCTTAGAAGGTTCCACCCACTACAGAAAACAAGGGCGGAGACAAGACCAGTCACCCCTCACAAGGAGAAAGTAGAGCTGTAGGAGGGGCCCAGAAGGCTCCACCCCCTACAGAAAACAAGGGCGGAGACAAGACCAGTCACCCCTTACAAGGAAAGAGAAAGTAGAGCTGTAGGAGGGGCTCAGAAGGCTCCACCCACTACAGAAAACTACAAGAGGGGGTGGAGACCAGACCAAACACCCTGCACAAGGAGAGAGAGCAGAGCTGTGGGAGGGTTCAATAAGGCTCCACCCCCTACAGAAAACAAGGGCGGAGATAAGACCAGTCACCCCTCACAAGGAGAGAGAAAGTAGAGCTGTAGGAGGGGCCCAGAGGGCTCCACCCACTACAGAAAACAAGGGCGGAGACAAGACCAGTCACCCCTCACAAGGAGAAAGTAGTGCTGTAGGAGGGGCCCAGAAGGCTCCACCCACTACAAAAAAATACAGGAGGGGGAGGAGACCAGACCAGTCCCCCTGCACAAGGAGAGAGATCAGCAGAGAGCGGTCTTTATTACAGGAAGTCTGGATTAGGTGGGGAAGGTTAGGCTCAGCATAAATGTTACAACCAACTTTAGATTTAGCAATATTATGAGGATCGAACTAAACTATCCAATCGATTTTTATCCAATCAGGCTCTACAGATCTAAAAGGAGACAGTACAATCAGATTGTATGGTTTGTGGTGACCCTGCTGCCTATGGTGGTGCAGAGGCTCCCAACTTTGGAGCAGACAAGGGTTAATAAGTGGGACCCCAGCCATACATGTATTGATCCGATTGGTCAATTAAACAAAAAAAAAATCGTTTTGCAGATCAAATCTCGTAATTATAGATAGATAGATGGGGGCAAACTAACCAGCCAGTGTCTACTCTTTAAAAGGAAAAAAAAACACACAGTGAGCGCTGGTCCTGAGCAGCAGCTGACCACTCTAAGCAACCGATAAAGTACTTGTACAGAACAACATGAAAACAGTGCTGGAGGTATTAATAATAAATCCGAAATGAGTCCACTGCAAGTCCAGGTCATAGAAACATGTCAGGTGACAAACTCAATGTTGGTGATCCCTGAGGAAGGAGCAGAAATACGCACTCACCAGAAAGAAGATATATATAAGCAGTATATATCAAGAGCCCATGGATCCTCAATCCAGAAGGAACAAAGCTGGTCTGGTCACCATAGGTGGGTCTCTCCTTTAAGGATGCAGAAAAAGGTCTTCCTCCTCCCAGGTGGATATTTGGATTCCAAAAGTCAGGATTCTGCAAACAAAGTGCTCATCAAAGGGAGTCAGGGAAGGAGTGCTCCTCAAAAGGGAGTCAGGGAAGGAGTGCTCCTCAAAAGGGAGTCAGGGAAGGAGTGCTCCTCAAAAGGGAGTCAGGGAAGGAGTGCTCCTCAAAAGGGAGTCAGGGAAGGAGTGCTCCTCAAAAGGGAGTCAGGGAAGGAGTGCTCCTCAAAAGGGAGTCAGGGAAGGAGTGCTCCTCAAAAGGGAGTCAGGGAAGGAGTGCTCCTCAAAAGGGAGTCAGGGAAGGAGTGCTCCTCAAAGGGGAGTCAAAGGGAAGGAGTGCTCCTCAAAGGGAGTCAGGGAAGGAGTGCTCCTCAAAGGGAGTCAGGGAAGGAGTGCTCCTCAAAGGGAGTCAGGGAAGGAGTGCTCCTCAAAGGGAGTCAGGGAAGGAGTGCTCCTCAAAGGGAGTCAGGGAAGGAGTGCTCCTCAAAGGGAGTCAGGGAAGGAGTGCTCCTCAAAGGGAGTCAGGGAAGGAGTGCTCCTCAAAGGGAGTCAGGGAAGAGTGCTCCTCAAAGGGAGTCAGGGAAGGAGTGCTCCTCAAAGGGAGTCAGGGAAGGAGTGCTCCTCAAAGGGAGTCAGGGAAGGAGTGCTCCTCAAAGGGAGTCAGGGAAGGAGTGCTCCTCAAAGGGAGTCAGGGAAGGAGTGCTCCTCAAAGGGAGTCAGGGAAGGAGTGCTCCTCAAAGGGAGTCAGGGAAGGAGTGCTCCTCAAAGGGAGTCAGGGAAGGAGTGCTCCTCAAAGGGAGTCAGGGAAGGAGTGCTCCTCAAAGGGGAGTCAGGGAAGGAGTGCTCCTCAAAGGGAGTCAGGGAAGGAGTGCTCCTCAAAGGGAAGGAGTGCTCAAAGGGAGTCAGGGAAGGAGTGCTCCTCAAAAGGGAGTCAGGGAAGGAGTGCTCCTCAAAGGGAGTCAGGAAGGAGTGCTCCTCAAAGGGAGTCAGGGAAGGAGTGCTCCTCAAAGGGAGTCAGGGAAGGAGTGCTCCTCAAAGGGAGTCAGGGAAGGAGTGCTCCTCAAAGGGAGTCAGGGAAGGAGTGCTCCTCAAAGGGAGTCAGGGAAGGAGTGCTCCTCAAAGGGAGTCAGGGAAGGAGTGCTCCTCAAAGGGAGTCAGGGAAGGAGTGCTCCTCAAAAGGGAGTCAGGGAAGGAGTGCTCCTCAAAGGGAGTCAGGGAAGGAGTGCTCCTCAAAAGGGAGTCAGGGAAGGAGTGCTCCTCAAAGGGAGTCAGGGAAGGAGTGCTCCTCAAAGGGAGTCAGGGAAGGAGTGCTCCTCAAAGGGAGTCAGGGAAGGAGTGCTCCTCAAAGGGAGTCAGGGAAGGAGTGCTCCTCAAAGGGAGTCAGGGAAGGATGCCCAGAGTGTAGTATGTTATGAATAAAACAGCTTTATTAGGAAACAACAAGCATCTGTTTCAAAAGTTGTCAGGTATCATCAAAATGTGTCAGCAGGACAACTAACCCTGACACTTAGAATGATGGCTGCCGGGCCTCCACGTGGCTCCGGCGGCGTAGCGTCTCGACGTCCAGGCTCCTCCTTACGCGTTACGTGCGCACGCACATCTTCAGAGGTATGGAACCAGTGACGTGATGACGCGATAGGCGAACTTATACAGGCATAGTGACGCATGCGCGGATTCATATGAGCCATTGTGCAACGGCTAAGGCACATGTGCGATGTTCCGTCCGCCATTTTAATGGAGTTCAGAGACACGCAAAAGCAAGGCGATGGTGCGCCGTATATCAGACAATTGGATGTCAGTGGGGGGAAGTTCAACATCGGTGTGAATACAATCATTCATAGAATAACTAATACAAATTTATGAAAAATAAGCGCTCAATTATGTTGAACCCACTCAAATCATA